TTTTATTTCATAATAATTCTGTTCATTGGATATATAGTAGCTTAGATTTTTCGTATCTTTCTTCTGAAATTCAGTAGTTCAAACGGAAATTAATCAGACACCGACGACGTCAAGAAGAAGCTAAACGATGAAACGTAACTGTAATTATTTTTTGACGATATTCTTAAAGGGATATTAATTTCTTTGAATATTTTAAACGGATATTATTTTCTCCATTTTACATTTAACCAGAGAGGAAAAAGAGGAAAAGAGAATTTAATAAGATATGCGGTTACAAAGAGCCACTCTAAACCATTCCTTACCGAGATAACAATATCTAAAGTTTCGTCGAGATCTTACGTTTAAAATTACAAATTAAAGCAAATAATGGGACAATTAATCTCTGCATTAGATTATTATTATTATTATTATTATTTCCTTGAAATTCAAATAAAAATCTTAAAACTGAATGTTACCTTTTCGATAAATAAAATAAACGGTTATGTAACTATGACTCGATGAACATATTGTTTAAGCATGCCACTTCAGGACACGGTCAAAAAACTAACGAAAATAGTCAAACTAGGGTGGCAGTAATAAAACCCTGACGCAACAAACATATTAATTAATCCAGTGTCAGGGATTAGTATGGTGCTAAAGAAACACGTCGTAACGCTGTTACTCTAACCGCATATATGCGAAAGAGCGTGCAGCCAGACTCGCTCGGCCATAAACTATGGTGGTTAACGTTATCGTCTTCCCGGATCTCCATCCCTCGGCAAACTGCTGCAATTTAGTTAACGCTCTTCCATCTTGGAAACATGTATGCTACCAAGGAAATTGATATGGTCCTTACTTGATCGCTTTACGAAATGCCCACCGTTCCATTTTTCTTCCTGTTTTTTTTTTTTCATATCTTTCTAATCGCACCAACCTGCCTGCTTGCTTGCCTACTTGCTTTTCTTTTATCCCTTCTCCGATTTAACTTAACTTCCTATTAAAATATTAGCATCATTTGCAAAAAAAAGTTTACACAAATCAGCTTTATATCGACTTTTTCTTTTTTTTTTTTTACTAATATATTTGCAATGAAATAATTTCTTATTCATTTGATTTGAGAAGAAAAATATTGTTTCGTTGATTCTTTCCTTCTCTATTTTTCATCAAGATATCAGAAGAGTGAACACGGGTGTAGAGAAAAAAAAAGCAAAATGTAGGAAAATTCAGTCTTCGTAACGAGACATTTGGAAGGGAACGAAAACGTTGCTTGTTTGTCGGCCGTTCGTGGTCCAGACAGTACAAACACAGAGGGTGAAAGGGGTGAAGAGGTGAAAGGGTGAGAGATGAAGAGGAGTAAGGGGAACGTAACGGCAAGCGATTGCGCGCACGTCGTGTCCCGAAAGCAAATTAAAAATCAATTCCAACGGCAATTCCAAAGTGTCGAGGTGCGTCGACGAGATTCGTCAACGAACACAACCAGTGAAACTCGGTTTTTCCTAAGAACCTGAAAGACCTCGTCGACATCGCGATTATGCCTAAAACCTTTAATTACATTTTAACATGTAAAATTGTTTCTATCATTTTATTTTATTTTATTATAAAATAGAAATTTTGACATATTATGTATATGCATACATAATATCTCAAAAGACGAATGTTCGAGTAAAGCAAGATGCCTATTGGAGCGTATAAGCACTAGTTAATTATGGCATAACAATGTCTTTAATCTTCGAATACGCGATTAATTGAATAAGGATAGTATGTATGTATATTCGTAAACGTCGTGTTTCCTAATTTCCTATCACGTTCAACACGAACGTTGTCATAACAAATATCGTACGAAATGACACGCGAGCGTTGATCTTGTACAATGAAACAAGTCAATAAATAATAATTAAAAAAAGAAAAAGAAGAAAATAGAAACTACATTAAATTAGAAATAAATTTTTAAAATTCATTTATTCGATTTTCTATATAAAAAAAAAAGAAAAAAAAATACGAGCCTATCGTTTTCGAACGTTAATCGTTCTTTCTTTTTTTTTATTTTTATACGATAATAAAACGACAAATTTCATCCGCCTCGCGCGTCTACAATCCAATTACAAGTATCACCGATCGATCGAACAAAATGTAATCCTACATATAAGCTTTACATTTTTAAACGTTATTATGCAAACGAAGGGTTCTCTCTTTCTCGCAATTTTTTTTTTCTTTTCATCTCTCTCTCTCTCTCTCTCTCTCTCTCTCTCTCTCTCTCTCTCGATATATTGCACTTTCACACCTGGCAATTCATTAAATGTAAATCATATTAAACTTTGCTCGCGTCCCGAGTATGAATATCCGAACAATAAACTACGTCCTGAATAATCAACGATATTCCTGGTATAAAGAATGGCACGCGTTCGTTAAAACTAAACCTTGCTAACGTAATCTCGCATAGTAATCTCATGTAAGAGAAAGAAAGTAAACCTATTCTATTCTATATGTAAACAAAACTAAATGAACAAATAAAATTATGAAAAGTATAAACGGTGGATCGTTCGTATTTTTCTTCCTACGAGTGAAAAAAAAAATTCCACTTAATATCCAACGTTATTAGATATCGATTAGTGCGTTAAACTGGGTGCAATCGAATGGTTCGACGATCTCGATTAATTTGCAAAAAAGTGACTCGACAAGCTTGCTTGTAAAAGGACTGCGGTAACGAATCATGGAAGAGTTCTACCAAGTTTGATATCCAATTGGAGCCGACAGGGTCGCGTAAACGTTCCTAAAGTCCTACTACTGGAGGTAAATGCTGAATCTGCAGGAAAGAAAAAGAGAGAGAGAGAGAGACTTCTCTAGTATTTTCGTTTTTAAAAAAAGCCAAGGGTGGAGATGGGTTGGAGAAACGCTTTATCTCCCCCTCCCCCCTTCCTCCTCCTTTCCTGCCCTCTCATTCTCCGTCTCTCTCTCTCTCTCTCTCTCTCTTTTTCTTTCTTCCCCTACGGAACGAAGTTTTCCAGGAAAGTAAAGTCATTTCGTTCTGGCAATCTAAGTTAAGTGACTTTCGAGTGGCTCAGCGACGAAACTCACCTCCGCTTCGGTCCTCAGCTTCGATCCTCTTCCTCGTCGTCGTCGTCGTTTTCGTCGTCGTCGTCATCGTTCTAACGCCAGTAACCCTTTATCTTTCTATGCACCATTCCCTATTTTCAACGATAAAATCCCAAATGCAAGAGTATTACGCGATCCATTAGGCGCGGCGCGTCTTCGCGGAGTTTTCTCCCATAGAAGATAATAAAACACGAGACTTACGTTCGGACTATTTTTTTTGTTCTATTTCGATGCACCATCTGTCCTCTTGTACCACTTTAAAGATTAAACGTCCTACGCTTCTACGCCGTACCTTCTTGCCTTTTCCCTTTTTTCTTTTCTATCTTTTTAGGTTTTCTTGTTTTTTCTGCTATAGAGTTTTCTTGTCTCGCAGAAATATTCGGTAGTAGATAAACAGATAGATGTAAATGATTTATCGAATTTTGGCAGAAAGCCATGGTGATAAGAGAACGCGTATAGAACGTGAAATATTCCAGATACGAATAACCGATCGATTTTACCATAAATTAAATGCGAAACAAGAAAAGCAAAGAAAAGAAAAGAAAAAAAAAAAAAAGAGGAAAAGAAACTTTGTAAAATATAATATCCTCTAATAATATTACATTTTATAATATTTTAACGTAAGAAAGAATATACGAGCTCAACGTTAAAACAAATATGAAACGTTCGAGAATCTCTCTATGCGAAAATAATCCTTTAGCATTAAGCAACAAGTTCGCGACATAATCGTAAATTAAAGCGATACCATCGTGTAAGTTAAAGTATGCGAGAAAAAAAAAAGAGGCGAGGAGAAACGGACGATAATATATAGAAAAGGCTTTGGAAATGCTCGAGATTGGCTCGATTTTCGAGAAATCACGAGTGTCCAGTCGCTCATAAATACGTCAACGTCTCTTTCTCCTTCCCCTTTTCCTCTCATCTTCTCATACTCCCTTTCCACCCTTACCCCTTTTTACCGACGGAGAAGGAAAAAGCTGAAACGTCCCGCTCCTCGCTCACTTTACGTAGGAATGGGTGCGGCTATATGAATCATGAGGGTTTGTAAAGTGATATCGAATGGTATACAGAGTGTTCACACGCGCTAGGGAGTCCGCTATATGTATATATATATATAAATAGAGAGAGAGAGAGAGAGAGAGGTGCAGTGTATATAGGTGACACGGCCATTAAAACGAACGCCTCGTGCCGCAAATTGCTGATTCAACACTCTCCGCGACACTCCATAAACGACGAGTGCCAATTTTGCCTCTCTCTGCCACTATCTATCGCCATATTTCTCTTTTTTTTTTCTTCTTCTTTTCTCCCTTACTAGCTCAATCAAAATTAACAATAAATAAGTACTTTCAGCATTTTAAACTTCTTGGTAATTTCGTCCCTCTCTCATTCTCAATTACTAACTCTAAATTACTTTTCGCGTCTTTCTATCTTATCGCATTCCCCGACACCATTTTCGTGCTATCAATAGCATTGCGTCTGAATTGCTACATCGAAATAGATCCGTTTTCAAAAACGTTTCTTTTTCGAGTAACATCCATACTCCTATTTCTTTTATCTATACTTGTTTCTTGTTGTTTTTTTTTTTTTTTTTTTTTTTTTTCTCTTTTTTTTTTTTTTTTTCTATCTTTCCCCTCCTTTCGCATTTTCCTCCTACTCGTCTTCTCAAGCGTCGGTAGTTTTCAACCCTTCTATGTAATGGGATCTGTTAACGAGTTCTCCTATAAAAGAATCATTATATCAAACTTCCTTTTTGTTTTTTTTTTCCTTTTTTCTTTTTATCGAAACAACGTTGAGATAGGAAACGAAAGAAATGCGAGAAAAGAGATAAAGAAATTCTTTAAATGACGAGCTTTGTTATCAGAGATATTGAACGAAGTCTGATAAAATTCGAAAAAAATAATAATAATAATATCAGAACTGAACGAACTTACCCAACAGTTTCATAACTTGTGATTGGCTGATGAAAATGTTGAGATACGCCTCGCTGCAGCCTATCAAGATTAGGAGAACAAGGAACTTGCATCTCTGGAGATCGCAGGATCCATCCGCCCACCACATTGTCTCACACACGGTCACATGCCACACTTTTTGCCACGACTACGACGTATCGCACCGGTATGCAACCGACGCGCTTTTAAAATAAACAAACGATCGTGATCTTATATTCGATATGATGAACCCTTTTGTCATCTTCAACCGGATACATATTTAAAAACTTTGTTTCGAGAAACGAAAGAAAAATAATTTTGTTCACAATCTTATACAATTAGACAAATGTCTATTTTTTTGTTCATATTGTTTTCAACTCTTAATAAAATAAGAAATAGTTTGAGTTTTCGTGGTGTAAAGTATACCAAAGTCACGTGGCTCCGAAGATCGACGAAAAAGCACGAGCGAACGTTGACAGGGTAAAAACGAACCTGACGTTGCGAACGTCCGTACGCAACTGGCGAACAGCGTATACGGTTTTTCGGGGACGCGACAGGATTCGCGCTTGCGCCTTACACAAACAGGATAGAGAAAGAAAAGGAATCAAACGAAGAAAGGAATTGAACGAAAAACAGGATGAACTGGTAAATACTTTGGAAAAAAACGTTCCACCGAAAACTAATTTTTTACTTTTACAATATTTCTTTTCTTCTCCATCGAAAATAATTCTTTCAAGTTTTATTATTTTTCTTTGCGACGAGTGAGCATGTTTCTTTAAATCCTTCCTTCTTATTTCTTACCATTATCAGTATTTTTGGTATAACATCCGATCATTCGCACGCGCGCACGTTCATTCGTAACGAGAAAGGAAAATAACGACTTGTCATTTTTCAACGAATGCGGACGCCTTTCAAATTTTGTTTCTTTGAAGCGCGAAATTCCCCGCTGACGTGACCCCCCAGAGCGCGAAAAAATTCGGCACCCCTGCTTAGCCCCTTCCATCCTCCTCAGAACGGCGCAATATCAAGAAAAGTCGACGTAAGCTGATCTCGTCTAACGGGAAATTGGGGTGCGAGCTCGAACAAGAATAAGAAGAAAAAGAAAAGGAAGCGAAATAATCTGAGAAAGTGGAAGAAACGTATATATCGGCTTGAAGAAGGAAGTTGCTTCTGTCCTTTTCCTTCGTTTCCGTCGATTTCCAATTGTATGCGACTACTCGTCCTTAAACCATGACCCAACCCGTCGCTTTAAAAACGTTAGAATTTTAATTAAACAGACAGCATTCCGTGTTCGCAAACTTTTAACTCTTTCTCTCACCTCTTTTACGCTCTCTATCTCTTTCATTTCTATTATTATCAATTCTATTATTCTCTTCTTCTTCTTCTTCTTCTTCTTATTATTAAAATCCATAAATTATATTATTGCTTTTTATCCTAATCCTTTCCTCCTATCTCAACCTTTGCAGTATACTTTTACTTTCTCTTCTTTTTTTTTTTTTTCTACTTCATTTCATAATACTTTTCCATCGAAAAATGTCGACATTCTGTTTTTACTTATATAACCTTCATTAACTAAACTATTACAAAAGACAGAGAACATTTTTTTTCTTCTTTGCCCATTCACAAGTTTTGATGCCACCCCCCAACAAGTTTGAAATTTGTTCGTAAAAAAAACTACTCCCGCCAGCTTTTCACGATTTTATACTCGTGAATTCAAACTAGGAGGGGTGTGGAAAATGAGGTGGGGGAGAAGGTCGATCCGTGCACGCCTTTCGGCACATCGAAACGGGACTTTAATTATACTGCGGGATTAATTAACTCCGTTAAATCCAGCGGAACGTACACCCTCATCTTGGTTTTCTCTCTCTTTCTCTCTCTCTCTCTCTCTCTCTCTCTCTCTAGAGACCACCCGATGGACTATCGCCGTCATCGGAGGGATCGCCAAATAATTAAAGAGCTTTCTTCTCTTCCTCTCTATCTTCTCTCTTTTTTTCAGTTATCCGAAAAGGGGGATGATGGTTCCCTGCCCGATTTCATTTCGCATCTTTGCGATCACGCGCACATGAACATTTTATAATGACGACAGTGACGCCTACGGTGTTCCATGATCTTTTATAGATTTTTTCTGATTATCCAAAGTTCCAAATATACAAGAAGTTTCGTCAATTTAATTCAAGACACGTGTCAATATCAATCTTTGTCACGTAGTTATCAAATCTTGGCCATCAAAGTCTCTTGATCAACACTTCGAAACTCGTTTATTTTAATATTTTTGTCTCTATTTATCATTTAAACAATTTATTTCTTACGGTCGTTGCAATTATATCGGTAAAAAATTGAATGTTTGGACAAACTCGAGAAAATATACGTGCACGGGTATTATATACTTTACTATCAGATACATTCAGATTCATTAAATATTTGTACGATGGAAAGCAAGAAAAAAGGAAACGGAAAGAAGAAAGCCCTAGAGAAAGTTTACCCTCGCTGTTTCACTCCCATATATTAAAAGGGAGAATGAGAGAGAGATAGAGATATGAATCTCTATTAATATTTACATTTATATTTCTTTATTCTTCTCTGTCTTTCTCTCTTTCTTTTCCAAAGATCGTAGCTCTTGGCAAAGAAGAATCCTTTCTACGTTATAAATCTACCTAGTCGTTTATTCTCAAATGATCGCTCTGCTATTATACTTAAATATCATCCTTATAACATCATATAACGAGTACTCATGTTATTTTGAATTGTTCTATAATACTTTCATGCATTTTTCGTGAATTGCTAATTGCTTCTTTTATTACTATAATATCTTTGTAGTATTGAATTATATATTTTTGTACAAAAATATTATTATCTGTTTGATTCGTTTACAGTGTTACAATAATATGGGATAAATAAAACGCGATCAACGGGTATATCCGAATAAATCTCTAAAGGAAATGTTTCTCTGCAATTTATCCAAGGTGGACATTCGACAGATACGTTTATATCACGTAGCTGTTATCTCACAATAGAGAACATTTTTATAATAGATCAGAAAGAATTGTGATAACTTCTAGAAGAAATAGGAATAAGGAAATAATAACACAATCGAGCGTTACACATAAATACGTATTAATGATTTAATTTATGTAATTGCCTTTTAATCAAGTCCCCTCCTTTAAGTTGATTTTATATTGCCCTAAATGGAAAAAACGATAAATGGTGATAGAGAATGATGGTAGCGGTTGGAATTGTTAATACCAAGCTTCAAAAAGACGAAACGTTCATCAAGGTGATATCCTGATTTTCGTTTGAAGGGGAATTTTACGAAAAAATCCTGCGACAGGGTTTGACATACCAGTTTACCCATCTGGCATTGCAACCAAACCGATGTCTGCGATGAAAAGAAGCTACAAGACAATTAACGGTGAATTTATTTCATTAACGATCAGGAACACAACGTGAGACGTCGAGATCGAGGCTGAAATCGACGACAGGACTACGAACTGAAATTAGGACCAACCAGGCAAGAAACGCAGACGGCGTGAAACTAACGAGCTCCTCGAGACAGCTACGCTCCAATCAGCTAGATCATTAACTTCGATAATTAATAATCATTGGAAATCGATCCTTGTTATCGCTAGCTTTTTTTTCTTCTTATTATTATTATATTTTTCTTATGTTTTGTTAGATTTTCAACGATTTTCCGGATTAATACATCAACTTTTTTGTTTTATTTTTTTAGCAGTAATATCATTTTTTTTTTATATAATCCATTATTTGTACACAATAATATTTATTTTTATAAGGTTCATATTTGATTTCATTTGACATTCTCTATTTTTTTCCTTCGTAGTTTCATCTTTGCTTCCATCGGTGCAATCAAAATTCTCGTCGTCTCTCAAGATATTCCCCAACATGTTTACGGAGAAATTAATGAAGCACCGACTATACACCGTGGATGCTTCGAACGGTATAATTACGTTCGAATAAATAATTAAATAGTCCTAGACGTATCAATAGGGAAGTTCGATACGAACGTAACAATCAACCATTCTTGCTGTGTCACGCAAACCGAACGTTTTAATCATTAAAGATTATCGTCGATTCTCCAACTAGAGAGTTTTACCATTATTCGTAAATTATTAAAAAATAAACAAATAAATATAAACGTTAAAATATATTATTAAACAAACATTTGCCATTCTAACGAATAATCATAGCTACCGTATTTTAATACGATTTGTATGTTTCTATATAAAATATAGTTGCAAATATAATATACCTATATACATACACACACGTACATATATTATCTAAAAATAATTCAAGTAATTTTTGTCGAGAGATATTAATAACATTTCTTTATTAAATTCCCATCTATCGAAAACTTTGTTCCGTATCGCGCCATTATTTACTCGTTGTAAAAAGAAAGGAAAAGGAACATATTATTTTCCTTGGGATAGAACTTTACGAAAGACAATAGACGATTTTCGCCTAGGATAAAATCGCAGAAAATTTCTGCACAGATGGTCGACAGTGCGAACGAACGCTTTCGCCAAAAGTTTTCGAGTTTTTCGCTGCGACGAGCCAAATCGCTGGGACACCGGTGCTTTTCGATGAGAGGGTAAAAGAGAAAAAAGAAATACATGTATACTAACAGAGCGAGAGCGAGAACGAGAGAGAGAAAGAGAGAGAGAGAGAGAACAGACGGAAAATTTCAAACGAGTCCGAGGGGAAAACGGAAGCACGGTGTCACCGGTGTCACCGATTCGATCGATATGCGCACCACGTCGCAAAATCTAACGAATTCTCTAGTAACTTCGTATCCAGTTATACGTTGTTCTTGCACGCTAAATAAACTTTATAATTCAAAATTACATGGTTGGGGTGAAAAATAAAACTCTTCTTTTCATTTTTTTTTCTTTTTTTATAATTTCGAACAAAATCTCGCGTTATTCTTTACAACGTATAAGAAGTCATTCTGATTGTCTTAAGAAAACTATGAAAAGAAATAAATATCTATGTGAAAATTACTAAACGAAATGATATTTTGACAAGATGCTATTAGATTTGATTTTTATCAAAACTATGATAGTCGAAAATATCGAAGGTTCGATCGTTTTACCAAGCAAACACGTTTGTCGATCGATTAAACGCGCATAATTTTGTAACTCGTTATCGGTATTACGTTATCGCGTTTCACTGGCCGCTCACAAAATCATTCCCTTCGTAATCGCTATGAAACACCTATGGATGATTGTAGAATCACCATCCTAACGCGACCTTTCCCCCCCGTCCCTTCAATTTAGAATCGCGAGACGAGCCAGAAATATTATGGAAATTGCTATCGCTTGAAAGGGATGGGACGAAAGGGAATAGGACAGAGGAAAAAACAGAGATGGGGAGTGAAGGAGGGGTGGAAGGGAGGGAGAGGGGGAGATACGACGTAGAGATTCGTAAATCGAACACATTAAAAGTCCATTATCGATGGTCCTAAAGAAAGAAAGGAAGAGAAAAA